ACCTAATTTGCTTTTCGAGCTAAGCACAGTAATCGGTTGGAGGTGCACTGGAGAGTACCGCCAAGAAGAAGCCGGGTGTGCCCATCTGGTATCCTAACAATGCGCTTATTACTGGAGCTTCTTCCAAAGACTACAATTTTCTTTCTAATCCTACACAGTAGTTACTGACTGATTTATAAACGCTCTTTTTTGCACGCAATCACTTACCGCATAATTGTTCGTGCCCTCTGCTTCGTTGCCGTTATGTAGATTATTAGGTAATTATTGATTGGGTAATGAGGTGGTTAGGAGATCTACGATTCCCTGGTAGCTTGGGCAAAAACGAAGGAGTGGAGATTTATTTTGAGTGTTTCGGATGCCCCTCCCCCTCGAGTGACCCGTATAGCCGACTCTCATAAGCCAACATAATAAACCCACTCAACATGGGAGCACTAGCAAAGCCCATCCCCTGGGTTGGACAATTCGCCAACCATCTCGGGGCCCGCGACAGACCCATGTTAACCTGCGAGCACGTGGACGCGTGTAGCATCGACACCCCCTCCCCCATCAGGGGTGGTTGCGCACTAGACTTGTCGGTCTCTAAAGTTTCACCCTTGCGCATACGTTTGGCCATTCAGACTCAAAGTAAATCTATCCCAATAATAGCCCTCCCCTGGATAAACTGCTGAACCCGAACTCACTTTACTTGGTACTTTGAATACTCTTTAGGATTTCTTGATATTTTTTAGGGTTCCGTCCCATATAGTTTCCGAATCAGTAAGTAATACAGAATTCTCTGCTACGGCTTTTCAGGCACAATTGAAGCAAGTACACAAACCGCCAACATCAAAGAAGTCTCCGCGCGAAGTTCTCTCCCCAGTAGTTTGCCTCTCAATCCCTCCACGCGAATCGGTGCCCTCAATTTGGTTGGCGAACTTTTGCAAAAAGTGGGGGTAAGCGCCTTTTTTAGGCATTACTATGCAAGTTCCCCGAACCGAAACCTTCCTACACCACTGAATTGATTCCTAAATGTCGGCGTAAAGCACCTCCTCTTCTGTGCCCAACAACTGGATTCTTCTTTCCCGTGTATGAGGTTTAGAGCTTCTCTGTGGTAATCTACGTATGTTATAGAGTCCGAAGTCCCGTTATCTGATTGACGCACTCTGATGAATTGCCCACTTCTCCTGGTTTTCTTCCCGCACCCCTCTTCTTTCAAGCCCCAAATGAGGCCCTAGTAAATTAGCGTCCATCGAAAGTTGGCGATTCAGTTTGACTGCACCTTGTGTTTGCCGAAGCAAGTAGTCTGGGTTTTGGCGTGTTTACCCATGACGGTGCCAGATATCCACTGTAGCCTCTTGTTTATCACACCTGTGACCTCAGGGCTCATTCGGCCCTTTCGAATTAGCCTCGAGACCCGATTCGTGGCTTGTAGGGAACTGATTTTTATGCACTGAATGGCGTTTTACTGTCATTTTGAAGAACCTTAACACAAAAGCTAAATTTTGCCACTTCATGCCCCAGATAGTAAGCCGTAAAAATAATTACGCAGCTTGCTCTTTACTTAGTCCAACTTAAAAGACATTGACTGAACCTACAAACTCGTTTTCATATTGGGTTTCATTCAGCTTATCAAGTACTATTCCCTACCTTCCGACTCGAGAGGCTGACTATTTAGTCTCTCGTTTTCTCTGCTATGCCCACGATCCAGTGTTTGTTGCTTCCAGACCTACCTATAGTCCAAACACAAACTTAACTTTGAGGTTACGCTTGAAGCCGTCCTGTTCTGGGATTGTTAAACGTGGCCACTGTGTCCGTGAGTTGGAGACATGAGACACTCGGCGTCTCCGGAAATTACCCCAGTGGACCCCGGGCACATCTAGTTATGTTGCTGTGTCTCACAGGGGCTGGTCGTGCAGCCCAGTCATCCAAACGTAAGTGCTTCCGCAAAGTCATCTTCCTGAATCAAAATTGGCGTCGTCGGCGTTGCAGAGGTTACTAAATGAC